TCAGGGGTGGGCAATTACTTCAGCTGGAGAGCCACGTAATGAGTTATGGAGACCTATCAAGGGCCACACACATTTCCCACCTGGGTCACATCCAAACCCCACCTGAGTCCACAGCTGATGTAGCTGTGTCAAGGGCTGATGCAGCTGGGCAGAAGCAGTCCCACCCACCCATCTGGCACTAAGTGGCAGCCAGAGCTGCCATCTGCCCACGGGCTAGAGCTCGTGAGTTGGCAGCTGTCCAGCCATAGGCCAGATCAAGTCTGTTGGTGGATTGGATCCAGCCCACAAGCCATATTTTGCCCACCCCTGTGCAAGTCCACTTCTGAGGGCCTGAGTGCCACAGTCATGGATAGTTTGAGATTTGCTTGCCTGGTTTACTGCCAGGGGCCTGTACCACTCTGTGGTACCACACTGGGTGAGGCACTTCTGGTAGAAATTCTCCATGAACCTAACTTCATTTAATAGCTCTATTTATAATGTGATGGAGTCATGAAAATGAATAATGCAGTCTGCACAGCAGGTCCTGGGCTCTTTGCTGTAACAGTTAATTCAGTCTCACACTGCCTCCTCCTTTTCTGTGTTCAGTGTGGTGGCACCTCTTAGTACTGACAATGTGAAACTGCCTCTGAAAAGTTGTCATAGGGAAAGGTGCAGGGAATGGGTGCACCTCAGGATGAGCGTGTTTGCTGGTGTACAGTTAGACATAGGACCCTCACAACCCATACTGGACCCTTCACAAAGCAGCTGTCCCAGGGGAGACATAATGTGTGGGGATCATGTAATGAAAGGCTGGGTGACATTCTTTCCCAGTTAGGTCAATGGGAGGACTGCCAGTGATTTTAGTGGGGTCAGAGTTTTACCTTGTATACTAACATAGTGGTGATCCATGAGGCTATGGTGAATCATCTGCAGACCACACTGGCCCCCACAGGCAAAGTGTCCAGCTGAGTATGCCTGTTAGCTGCAGAGCAAAGCTGTACCTTGGGCCCCTACCACATGATCCAACCACACCAGACACATCTCCTGGCATGTGGCAGGTCTTGCAAAATTTGAGACTTTGCCCAAGGCACACTAAAGTCAGAACTCAGGTAATTCAGATGCCTGCCTTCTCCCCTACCTTATTAAGGTTTATTTAGTTGTTATAGCAACTTTTTTCAGTGTATCTTGTAGAGGAAATTATTTATTTCCAGGTTCATTGAAGCTTAATAGATTAGCTGTTTTCAGAGAATAAAACACTGAGAAAAATAAGCTACTCAAGTCATGATCACATACCCTTTCAAGAAAGCTCATGTACCGTCTGCTTCAAATATGATTTTGGCGTCTAAATCTACCCTTATTAGCAAACAGAAAGATTCATGGGTGAACTCCTGTGAAATTATATCCAAAGAACCCATACTGTGTCTATTTAACTTCCAAACAGAATTAGGTGCCTATACATCACTCAAGGGAAAAAGGAGATAGATATTTTAAGTCAGTGACTTCTGGCTACTGTCTTCAAGACAACATGCTGGGAGTTGATTTTGTCTTGATCCATTGTTTTTTGCTGAAGCAGCAACATCCATCTCATTAATGTTATTCAGTGGAAGGTAACTTAAGAATTTTACTGTTTCCATTAGGTTTGATGATGAGGGATCATGACGGTCCATGAGAAATCCTGAGAAGTAACAATGATATATTGGTTTGAAAAACTCTGGGAACTGCTGTCCTAGTGCACCTTCATGCAAGGGGCCTGAAATAATAGTGGACAGCCAGACAATTCTGGCATCTCCTCACTTTTCAATGTTTGACTTTGCAGCCTTAAGAACAGCCTTTAACTGTAGCTTCTGTATGTTATTGTATAGCTTTTATGAAACCCCAACACTCTAACCCCTGTTACATATAACTCTAACTCCTCCCCACTCAAACAGCAGAGCTGAGCTTGTTAAACTACAGTGCTGTGGCACATACCTCTGCTATCTGAACCAATAAGCGAGCTACAAAAGCTAGCACCAGGCACAGGTTGTTCTCCCCTGAGCCAGCTACTAGAGAAGCAGCTATGATATACTGGTTGCGACTACACCAGACGCTGACTGCGCAGTAGCTCATTACTACTGCACAGTAGTGTCAGGTGGCAGGAAGTGTGACACAATGCTACTGCGCAGTAGTAACAAGCTACTGCACAGTCACCTAAAAGCCGTTCAGCAATGCTACTGCACAACAATTCTGGTTACTGCACAGTAGGGCTGTGTGAAGCTCCGGGTGCTGATTTGATACGGAGGAGATTCAGCCCGATTCGGTGGCCGAATCTCCGAATCCAAATGGAATCAGGTGACCAGTTAAAAGGTCTGAATCAATCTGAAGCTCTCCGAATCTATTTGGAAAAGATTCGGAGAGCTTTGGTGATTCGGGCAGTCCCTGCTCACTGCAGCAGGGAGCTGGACCCAGACTCTGAGCTGGTAAGTAGGGGGCAGGGGAGGAGAAGCTGGAGGAGTGGGCAGGGGACCATGGGGTGACCCCTGCAAAGCCCCAT